GATACTTACTACCTCATAACCTTGGGCAAGTAACTTCGACTCTCTGGTCCACAGCATCTCTTCCTGTCAAAAGACAGAGGCAGGCTAAGGGATCTCCAGGGTCTATGATATGATTTGGGGGAGCTTCCTCTGACTAGAGAGAAAGACAACTTCAGGCTCATACTTGGATGTCAGCGTGACCCAAGGAACGGGGCCTTAGTTTCCCAGTTTGTGCAGTATGGATCCCATAAGGTTGGGGGATTCATCAAGAGCCAATTCAAGTCAAGAAGGTTTTATTAAGGACCTACTATGGGCCAGGCACAGCGCTAGTCACTGGGGATACAAAAGAAGGCAAAACCAGCCCCTGCTCTCAAGTAATTCACAAGCTAATGGGGGAAACAGTATGCAAACAACTGTGTGCAAACAAGAGGCATACAGGACAAATGGGAGGCAGTCTCAGAGAGAAGTTCCTAAGATTAGCAGGACTGGGAAAAACTTATTGCAGAAGTGGGACTTTAACTGAGGCTTGAAGGTAGCCGGGGAAGCCAGGAGGTGGAGATGAGGAGGGAGAATATTCGATGGACAGCCAATGAAAACACTGGCAGTTGGGAGATGGTGGCCACTGTCACTGGGTCAAAGAGTAAAGCACGAGAAGACTGGAAAGGAGGAAGGGCCAAGTTCTGAAGGGATGTGAAAGCCAAGGAGAAGGTTTTATGTTTGATTCTGGAGGTGACAAGGAACCACTGGAGTTTACTGGAGGAGAATGACACGATCAGGCGTTTAGGAGGACCAATCTGATGGCTGAGTAGAGGTTCAGCTGGAGTGAGGAGAGACTGGAGGCAGAGAGATCAACCTGAAGGCTATTGCAATGGTATTGTCCTGAGGACCAATGGTACCACTATCTTCCCAGGCCCTCAAGTCCCAAACTTGACTCCCCTCTCTCTGTCACCACCCCCATATCCAAGCTGTCCATCTCAACTCTCCCACATCTCTTGAATAGGCCCCCTTCTCTCCTCTGACACTGCCACCGCTCTGCTGCAGGCCCTCATCACCTGGATGATTGCAATGGCTGCTGGGGGGAGGGGGCTGCCGGCCTCAAGTCTGTCCCATTCAGCTACTAAAGTGATTTTTCTAAGTGCAGGTTCGACCATGTCACCTCCCTATTCAGGAAATTCAGTGGCTCCCTATTACCTCCAGGATCAAATACAAAATGCTCTGTTGACATTCAAAGCCCTTTATAACCTCTCTCCTCCCTACCTTTCCATTCTTCTTCTTTTTATTATTTTTGGCTGGGCAGTGGGGTTAAGTGACTTGCCCAGGTTTACACAGCTAGTAAGTATCAAGTGTCTGAGGCTGCATTTGAACTCGGGTCCTCCTGACTCCAAGGCTGGTGCTCTACACACTGCACTTTCCGGTGTTCTTATACCTTACACCTCCTCTCATACTTTGATCCAGTGACATTGGCCTCCTGGCTATTCCACAAAGAAGGCACTCCATCTCTCAGCTCAGGGCATTTTCTCTGATTGTGCCCCATGCCTGGAATGCTTCTCCTCCTCATCTCTGTCTCCTGGCTTCCCTGGCTTCTTTCAAGTTCAAACTAAAATCCTATCTTCTATAGGGAAGTCATTTTCAATCTCTCTTAATTCTAGTGCCTTTTCTTTGTTAATTATTTCCTATCCCGTATATAGCTTGTGTATACACACACACACACACACACACACACACACACACACACACACACACGTTTGCCTATTAGCCCTGGCACATAGTAGGCGCTTAATAAGTGTTGACTGACTGATTGTTGTCTCTCCCATTAGATTGTGAGCTCCTTAAGGGCTGGGACTGTCTTTTGCCTTTCTTTGCAACTCCAGCCCTTAGCACAGTGCCTGGCACATAGTAGAGACTTAATAAATGCTTATTGACTGACTAAATGATCCAATATGGAAAGGTGAAAGGAGTGAGGAGTTGAGGATTACACCTAGGTGTGAGCCTGGATGACTGGGGAGATGTTGGTATCCTCAATAGCAATGGGGAAATTAGGAAGAGGGAAGGGTTTTGGGGGAAAGATAACGAGTTCACTTTTGGACATGTTGAGCTTGAGATGCCTAAAGCATATCCAGTTCAAGATGTCCAATAGGCAGTTGGAGATGTGAGTCTGGAGGTCAGCAGACAGATTGGGGCTGGATAAATAGGCCTGAGAATCCCTTGTATAAAGAGGATCATAGGAAAACAGCATAGAGGGAGAAGAGAAGAAGGCCAAGGCCAGAGCCTCAGAGGACATCCGTGGTTAGCAAGTGTGATAAAAATCCAGGAAAGGAGACTGAGGAACAGCCAGACAGGTATGAGAAGAACCAGAAGAGAGCAGTATCACAAAAATAGAGAGAACTCAGTATCAAGGAGAAGAGGGTGATCAGTGAAAAGACTGCAGAGAGGGCAAGAAGGCTGAGGACTGAGAAAATAGAACAGAGAGGAAATCACTTTGTCTGATCAACACTGGCTCAGAATTACAGATCACAGAATTTGAATGTTTTAATGTTTAATGTCAACCTTGGAAATGATCTAGTCGAGGAGTGGGGAACCTGTGGCCTCGAGGCCACACATGGTCTTCTAGGTCCTCGGGTGCGGCCTTTTGACTGAGTCCAAGTTTTACAGAACAAATTCTTTATAGAACAAATCCTCTTATTAAGGGATTTGTTCTGTAAAACTTGGACTCAGTCAAAAAGCCACATTCAAGGACCTAGAGGGCCATATGTGGCCTCCAGGCTGCAGGTTCCCCATCCCTGATTCTACTTCAATGCATATCCAAAAAGGCATCCTCATCGTAACCTCCCTGACAAGTGGTTGACCAGCTTGTGCTCGAAGACCTCCAAGAAGCGGGAAGCCATCATCTCCAGGTGGAATAGTGACCCATTCCCTTTTGGGGCAGATCTCACGGTGAGGAAGTTCTTCCTGACATACAGCCTCAATGTGCCTCTTTACAACACCCACCCACTGCTCCTGATTTTGCCTTCTGGGGCCAATCCCTCCTCCACATGACCAGCCTTTCAGATAAATGGGGGCTATCATATGTCATTCTCCCCTCCCTCCACCCCATCCACACACCCACCCTACCCCCAACCAATTTTCATGTGATATGAATTTAAGATGGCCATGCTCTAGACCCACTCCAGCTTTTCAATATCCTTTCTAAATTGTCACGCCCAGATGTGAACATGGTGCTCCAGATGGGGCCTGACCAGGGCAGAGGACAGTGGAACTCTCACCTCCCTATTCCTGGGAGTGGTGCCTTTCTTAATAAAGCCCAAGGCCACGTTAGCTTTTTTGGTGGCCACATCACATTGCTAACTCATACTGACTTTGCAGTCCATTAAAGCCCCCAGCTCTTTTTCAGAGAACCTACTCTCTAACAGTCCCTCCCCCATCCTGTTTGCCAAGTTGAGTTTTTTAACCCAAGTGTAAGATTTGACATCTATCCCTATTGGATTTCATCACTTAATTCAATCTAGTCTTCTAGCCCAGAGATGTCAAACTTGTTATTTCCCACTGTTCCCAAATCAGATCAAACTGTATTTGGGAAGTGCTTAATAAAATAAAAACACAATACAACATATATGTAATCAGACTATTCATTGGAAGGTCAAATACTGAAGCTGAAGCTTAAATACTCTGACCACATAATGAAAAAATGGGACTCACTGGAGAAGACCCTGATGTTGGAAAAGATCAAAGGCAGAAAGAAAAGGGGATGACAGAGGATGAGATGGATAGATACTGTCATGTCAACAATGAACATGAACTTGGAAAGACTCTGAGAGATAGTGGAGGATAGAAGGGCCTGGCATGCTGCACGGGGTCACAAAGAGCCAGACGTGACTGAATGACTGACCAACAACAAAAGTTGATATGGGACTGCATCTCTTTCTGTCTGAGTTTTCCACCACTGCTCTAACTTTTCTGCATCTTGACTCTGACATTTAGGGTATCTGCTTGACTTTGCATCATCAAGGCCTTATTGGGGGAGGGAGTGCCTTGGGAAGAAGCCTAGGCTAGAAGTCAGGGAACTGGGTTCTAATCTAGGATCAGCCCTTGATCCCTTGAGTGTACCTCTGTTAAGCTCCTTCCCCTTTCTAGGTCTCAATTTTCCTGTGTTTACATGGGCAGGCTGTGTGTGTGTATGTGGGGGGGGAAGGTTGATTTGATTAGATAGTCTCTAAGGTCATTCCAATGGCACATTTTGTGTTCTAAGACATGTCCTATTTACTGGCTTTTCTGGGACCTCATCCCAAGAAGCAGACAGAGCAAGACCTGCATAATCAGCTCCTCTCATCAACCTGCCCAGATAACCCTGGGGATCCTCCCTGGGCCTGACTCTTACCACCCTCATCTGTATCCTCATCAACAAACATTTATTGAGCTCTTGCTCAGTATCAGGATCACAAAAGGGAAGTCAGGAACTGTGTCCCCAGGATATCAGAGAGAATATCAGGATGCTAGGGGAAGGGTCAACAAAGATTATTGTAGGGGATGTCTTTAAAAGTCACCAGCAGACGGCTGACCAATAGTGGATGTTACTGAAAATCCGTATCGCTCCCTTGGGGTTACCAGTGGGCAAGGTCACTAGTGGGAAACATCAGCAGAGGTTACTTTTGATGTCTCTGCAAGTCATGGGTGGGAAAATCTCAGGTCACTGGATATAACCACAGGTCATCAGAGGGAGACATTGCCAAAGGTCATTAGTAAGAGATGTCATCAGATGGAAAGATCACCAAAGGTCACTACTGAGACATGCCACTGAAGGTCACAAGTGGGAGACAACACTGTCATGGTCACCAGTGCGGAATGTGACCCAACATCACCAGTGGAAGGACATCACAAAAGGATGTCGCTAGTGAGAGATATCGCTAAAGATATCCAGTAGGAGAAAAGGCTGCTAGCAAGGCAACACCCCCCCCCCTTTAGAACATCCAACTAATTCACTGCCACTAGAAGACCCAAGGGCTATGGATGGGGAGGGATTCACCTCAGGAGAACCATTTGGACAGCATCGGCAGAGTGCGGTAGGTGGGTGGCTCCTGTAGAATCTGGCAAGCCTTACAGAATTCCTGGTACCAGCCAGACCTGGTTACCACCTCCAGGTGCTTCCGCCACTGGAAGTATGCTAGGTAACGCTTCTCATCCTTATTCAGCTTCATTAGATAGATGGCTAGTTCCTTGGGGCTCCTAAAGTCACTCACATGGATAAAGGCGTCAGATGGCAGGAAGCACTCATAGCTGTACCTTGGTGGCCCATACACTATGGGGACAGCCCAGGCTGCCAAGGCATTGTGCCAAAGCCTCTCTGTGATGTAGTCTTTGTGCACAGAGTTCTCAAAAGCCAAGCAGAACTTGTACTTAGATAAAACAGACTGCTGGATTTTGGTTGGTAATGGCATGTGATGTTTCCCATAGATATCCACGGACAGATAGGGCTGTAGCTTTCGGAAATATATTACCCGTGTGGAGTCTTCCTTCCAATTACTCACCACCCAGGCCACCAGCTTGGTTTTGGGATAGGGAGGTCTAGTTAAGGAAATGTTTTCCTGCTGTGGTTTGAGCCACCCATAAGGGGTGAAGATGTCTGAGTCGCTGTGGTAGGTCATGGTCAAGTTGAAGAGGCCATCCATAGCAGCCAGGTTATTCAAATGGCTAGGTGACTCAAGGCTGAACCAGACCCATCGCTGGCCAGCTGGCCATGGTTTAGAAGGCAGCTGCGTGGAGGGCCTAGTACTCACATCGGGGTGGTGGATGATGACTGCATGGGCCGTCTTATACCAGGTACGGTTCAATGTGATTCGGCAGTTCGCCTCCTTGATCCAGGGGCCCATGCAGCGGAGTCCTTGAAAGGACGCTTGCTGATTAAAAGGCCATGTCCATAGCAGGATGACGAGCACAGGGGTGACAGATGGTGCTACCTGCACAGGGAGGCAAGGTTTCTGCACAGACCAAGGTAACAGGTACCAATATGAGAGAAGGCTCAGGGTAAACAATAATTGCAAAAGCAGAAACAGGAACAGCTGAGAATCGAAGTATTTTTTCTTGAGAGATGAGGTGGCCTGGGCCTTCATGAAGCAGCTGGTACTGGAGAAAAGTGGGGAAGGATAGGGCTGTTAAGCCAGTCAGTGACAAAGTGAGCATTTGCCTAGTCCTTACTCATCCCCTGCTTCTACCTCCCCTTTTCTCCCATTTTCTCTTCTTCCCCTACTTCATATTTCCTTCCAGTTCCCTATCCCCCACCCTCTGTCTCTCATCTCCCTCCATCCATCACCTCACAAAATCTCACAGCTGTAATGGACCTCTGAGGCCACTCAGTCCAATCCCTACCCAACTGAGAATACCCTCTATAACATTACGGAAAAAGTGACTGTTCAGTCCCCACTTGGAGATCTCTAGTGATTGGGAAATTCATTACCTTACGAGGCGGGGTTCATTCCACTTTTGTATAACTTTAACTTCACGTTTCTTTTCTTAAGCCTAAATCTGCCTCTAGGTACCTCCCACCCCTAGCTCCAAGTTCTCCCTCTAGAGCCAAGCCAAATAGGTCTAGTACAGGGGTGGGGAACCCGCTGCTTCGAGGCCACATGTGGCCTAGTCTCCTCCAGCCTACCCACAGATGGCAGGCCATCCTCCTCTGGTCACTTGGCGGATTGTTTGCCATGCCCAGGACTTACCTCCTTGCTACAGAAGTGGTCTGAGCAAATGACTGATACGGAATCTTACATGATTGCACACGTATAACCCAGTTCTGATTGCTTACCATCTCAGAGAGGGGGGAGGGGAAGGAGGAAGGAAAGGGTAGAATTTAGAACTTAAAACTTAAAAAAAAGTTTAAAAATTGTTTTAGCATGTAAGTGGGGGAAAGTAAAATATTATATATATTTTAAATATATTTTTATATTTATATATTAAAATATATAAATATATTTTATTTATTTACTATATATAATATATTAAAATATATATATAAATATATTAAAAATATTTTTAAAAATTAGTGGAGTGAGCAGGGCTGACGACAGCGGGGCTATGAGGATCCTCATCCCAGCCATCCCAGCCCCTCACAACCCAGGTGTCCCCGGTGCCCCCAAAGTCCCACAGGCTTTAAAGGCTGCCCCCTCCCACCGGCCACCCAGGCCCCTCTCCTCCCTCCCCCATATCCTAAAAAGAGGCCCTACCTCTGAGGGGCCAGGACCTGCCCCTCGAGCAACTCTCCGTCAGACATGTGCCCAACGATCCCGAGGCTTGCGCTGTGCGGGGAGGACTTCCTGCCAGACAGGAAGTAGGGAAGGGCCAAGCCCCACCCTCCTCCTCCTCGCCCTCCTGATTGGCTGCCTGGTCTCGGTCTGCACCCTTCCCCCTCCCCCATCCTGGGCTCCTGAGACTGAGACTCGGAGACTTTTATGAAAATCCAGAGGCTCTGAGATTCCGAGAATCCCCGAGAGTCTAAGGGTCTAAGGTTCTGAGAGTCTGTGAGAGTCTGAGGTTCTGAGGGTATGAGGTTCTGAGAGTCTGAGGTTCTGAGAGTTTATGGGAATCTGAGGTTCTGAGAGTCCATAAGAGTCCAAGGGTCTAAGATTCTGAGAGTCTTGAGAGTTTAAGGTTCTAAGATTCTAACAGTCCATGAGAGTCTGAGGTTCTGAGAATCTAATGAGAGTCTGAGGTTCCAAGATTCTGAGAGTCCATGAGAGTGTGAGGTTCTGAGAATTTGTGAGAGTGTGAGGTTCTGAGAGTCTAATGAGAGTCTAAGGTTCTAAGATTCTAAGAGTCCATGAGAGTCTGAGGTTCTGAGAATCTAATGAGAGTCTGAGGTTCCAAGATTCTGAGAGTCCATGAGAGTGTGAGGTTCTGAGAGTCTGTGAGAGTCTGAGGTTCTGAGGGTATGAGGTTCTGAGAGTTGTCTGTGGTTCAAAGAGTCTGAGGTTCTGAGAGTCCATAAGAGTCCAAGGGTCTAAGATTCTGAGAGTCTTGAGAGTTTAAGGTTCTGAGCATCCATAAAAATCTATGAGTATAAAGTTCTAAGAGTATAATATTCAGTCAGTCAGTCAATAAGCATTTATTAAGCACCTGTTATGTGCCAGGCATAGTCTTCAGTCCTAGGGATACAAAGAAAAGCAAAAGATAGTCCTAGTTCTCAAAAAGCTCACAGTTTAATGGGGTGAGAGATGGATGGATAGATAGATAGATAGATAGATAGATAGATAGATAGATAGATAGAT